TGTGTGTGTGTGTGTGTGTGTGTGTGTGTGTGGTGTTTGTGTGTTATATAAATAGTCAAAACTCTTAATTTATACCGTCACCCGTGGGACGAGCATGAGGCTGGCGCGGTTCCTCGACTGTTATGTAGCCCCACCTACCCAACGGCAAGGGACGATTCTGTTGCATTATCCTTTCCAAAAAAATATTTAATATATTGTTTTGTTTTTATTTTGGTAGGTGTTTTACGACGTTCACAACCGATGTCATAACGAGCGCGCGGGACACATCCTACATTTTCAGTTTGGTAGGAGGAATGTTTAATTTTGCCCTGGTGGCAGCCGAATCTACTCTAATTCTAATCGATTTTAGGACCACCAATGGATCTTATGTTAAATTTTATGTGTGCAACTTTCACACGAGACCACCGAGATTTTCCACTCTTATAACCGAGAAAGTGGAGACGAAATAAAGAAGGCGATCAAGGGCATGGTTAGAGAGCAGGAGGAAAGGATCGGTTAAGAAATTTTAGGAAGGAAACATTTCCGTCGCTTTTAGTAAGTCCGAACCTGGGACCTATATTATATGAGAAAGAGAGGCGAACACCATATCCCTTAGACCACTCGAGAGCCCCCTGTATAAATTAATAAGTGTCTTATATATACCATATATATATATATTTATCTTGCATCGTGTACATACACATATAGGCTATCAGAGCCGAAAGTCTATCTGTGTGTGTGTGTGTGCGTGTGTGTGTGTGTGTGTGTGTGTGTGTGTGTGTGTGTGTGTGTGTGTGTGTGGAGGAGGGAGGGTGTCGTCCTCTTAAAAAGAAATGTATATATTGTAGTTGACTTGCATGTAATAAGAGCTCAAAGCTTTTGCGGCAGGGTTGAAAACGGACCTAAAAAGCTTCAGCCATGGAGGACAATGTAATCTCTTTCTACCCTCTGCTTGTCCCCGCCGAATTTCGAAAAACGCTTTCCGAGACTTTCTGCACGCAATATTGAGCAACAGAAAACTTCCAGGGTGTTATCGTACCGAAAACGCGTCTACAAAATTGCTAGCGGCTACAGACGAAGCGTCCGAAGGAGGAATGTTATTTTCCAGTGCATATTATAGCTTTGCCTTAAAAAAATAAATAAATATGAGAACTCCCTAAAAACGCAAGTGTTATAATATTATGCTCTTCGTTGACAGATCAAGCAAAGTGCCGTATTTGAAACAATAAACAGAAAATTATGACTTTCGCGTGAACGCAATGGAAATCCATGCCCACAACAATAACAAAGGCTGTGTCTATTTCTGGGACACACGCAAAGACTAAGCATGTTTTACTCGCGTTTCATTGGTTCACAGTCAGTGGTGGGAATGACTTCCCTTGGACAAGCTGAGCAAGTCCAGTTGTAGTTAGTGGTGGGCAAATTTGCCGGAAATGAGTAACAGCAAATCCCAGTACCAAATCCAGTAGATACTCCCAAATCCCAGTACCAAACCCAAATCCTGGGACTCATGAGTAGAGAGTATACTCCCCTTCTTGAGTCCGCTGCTCTGCGTTGAGTAGCAGGAGCAAAACCAAGTAGCAGAGCAAATCCAGTACCACTACCAGTTACCAGTTACCAGTACCAGTAGGCCTAGGCCTAGCAGACGAAATCCCGTTGCGCGCTGCGCGACTGTGCACTGTGCGGGCGGATGTGCGACATTAGAACTTGCCTAGGCCTACAACAGTGCGGGTTTTGGAATTAATTGGCCTATCACAACTTGATGACTGGTTCACGGGGGGGGGGGGGGGGGGGGTGCCTGGGCTCTGGGCCCTGGGCTAGGTTATGTTGTACATATCTAGATCTAGATCTAGATCTAGATCTAATAAATTCGTTGTTATTTGAATTAGTATAGTCGCGTGAAGAGATTTAGGCGGGTGCTTTTTAAAATGATGTAGATCTATGTTTTGGAGGAAATGGGGGGGGGGGGGGGGGGGGGGGGTCGTGGTCCCAGCTTTAATATGTTGGTTTAATTGTTTTTTTCAAAGATCAAAAGCTAAGAAACAATTTAAAATATTCCTAATCCTAAACGTGTGTTTTTGTTAAGAACAATGATCTAGTCCCACACGACAAGAAGAACAATAACGAAGAGAAGCGAGGCACTGGCATGATACCACAGTGCAGGGCATAGACAAACACATGTGTTTAGATATCTAGACATTAGACAGCTGCTTTCAAACTTTTTAAACACCCTTTCTTCATCCAATTAGGCCTAGGCCTAGATCTAGATCAAGAGTCTAGATCTAGTTTCCCCACCAGCCCAAGCGAAAGCGATACAAACAACACCACTCCCACCCCTCACGTCATAAGCCTGTCGTCACAAGCGCCCCAGCCGTAGATTTAGGATTTGCTTTCGTACTGGTAGTTGGTAGTGGTAGTGGGAGAGTGAGAGGCGACAAGGCCTAGGCCTGGGTAACTGCTCTGGAGCAAGTAGTGGGTGCGCAGAGCAAATCCCAAATCCCAGTACCAGTTACCAGTTACCAGCCAAGTGAGTAGGAGTGTCCCCCCTTTATAAAGTACAATGGACTCTTCCTTGCGTCGTAAGTTGATGATTCCAGCTTATTCCAATGAATAAGGAGGGGAAACAAGTCCGTGTGATCAATTTTTAGTCGATTTACTGGTACATTTTTTGAAGGACTAGTTTACTTATCGCATACAAGGTTTTGTAGTATTTGAATATTATTTTGAGATATTTCAGTTTAGAAATTAAGCCAGCATATATTTCAAAACTTTGTTTTGTTTCGTACTTTTCAAAGATTTGGGATTTGGGGTTCCAGGTTTTGGGTAGTCTCACTCACACTAAGTACCAGCAAATCCCAAAACCAAGTAGCAAATCCGCCCACCACTAGTTGTAGTATTGGAACGACGAACGACAGAGAAATGGCGTTGTTATTGTTTTGCTGACAGTCTAAAGACGACCATGCAGTCAATTAAAAAAGCCTTTAAAGCCATTGGAAATGGGTTTTTCAACAACCTGGTTGAAAGATCTATTAAGGTTTATATTCAGAAACATTTGGGAGAATTTCTCCTTCACAAATTATCTACAGACCAAGTGGACGTTGGTCTCGATGGAGGATCCTTCGCAAGCCTCTATCTGGACCCTGAGGTAAACAGCTGTGCATGTAAACAATCATGGCGACTTTGCAGTACATTTCTGATCAAATTTTTTTTTTCTGTGATTTATTTAGTATTGATTGACATCATTTTGGTTTTTTTCGTTCTATTTATTATTTCCCACCTTTCGATTTCTGCCCTCTGCTTTACTGACTTCCTTGATGAAGTTGAGACCATCCCGTTTTTTTTCCTTTGGAAATGGGGCAGGCTCTATTTATTTCAATTTCAACTTTCAACTCAGTATGCCTCTAGAGTCTATGTAAGACAGTCGCATGATTGGTACTGGTGGTTGATTAAAAAGAAAGGTCTAGATCTATATGTCATTATTGTATTGGTTTCATAGTCCTTGGGCCTTGGGGGCCTAAATCTACTGAGGCTGAGGTCAAGATTGGATAGCATGAAAAATGAAATATTTCATAAATTTATTTTAAAAAATAATAATTTTAGCCTAGCCTAATACAGTGGAGTTCACTTATACCGAGTCCGGAAAAAACGAGAAGTCTGTTATAAAGGCACTATTCTAAAACCCCGTTTTCCCCCCCTCTTTTTCTTTGTAAATAAAATACTGCTACAGCATAGCGCAATCAGACTATGTTACAAGTCGGTTATAGCGGATATATTATTATTGCTGCTGCTGTGCACAGCGCATAGGTCAATTATACATAATTATGTAAAACTTAGCAAGTGAAGAAACTTGTTGGAGAAACAAAGAATGGGAGAGCCCTCGTGTGTCAACGATGAAGGCCGGAGCGAATGAGTGGGCAGGGTGTGGCATGTGCAGACAAGCAAAACGCATCACGTGATCGGCTGGAGAGGTCACAGCAATGTTATGGATGGAGCGAATGTGTGGCGTGCCCAAGCAGATAGAATGCACCACTGGGTTTAGTGGGGTGGGGGAAACAGCGGGCGAATTAGCCTAGAGCCCTTTCATTGTGATTTCCAACGCCAAGCTGTCAGTCCATATGGCTAGATCTAGCGCTAGAGAAAGAAACTTGATTCGATTTTTGATCAAGTAAGACTAGAGGTCATGTTGAAACAAAATCAACACCAGGGGAGATAGCGAAAGGAAATTTCACAGAACACCAAACTCATAGATTGAGTAGCAATGCCAATGAAAATTTAAATTTTAACTTTAAAATAGCCCTTTTTTATTTGGTACCTGAGAAAGAATTTTCAATTCTAAGAATTATGCTTCTTGAATTTTAAGAATCGGTTCATAAAGAAAAAAGTTATGGGATTGTTAAGGTCGGCAAAATATGGATGACCCACATAGGAAAATACTCCTAAAAAGTGGACCACGCAGTAGCAGATTCTGTAAGAAAATCAACGATATCTCGGTAACTAATCGGAGTGTTAGAGAGAAACTTAGGTACCTGATGTGTTTTTGGGTGCAGAAATCATTTCTGCAGTCAGATTTACTACCCATTTCATAGTTATTTGTTATAATTAAAATTTTAGTGTACATATTACGATTTTGCGAAAAAGGGGTGTCGGGATGAGTCCATTTTATTTATAGCATCGTATCACAACTTGGGATCTTTAAGAATATATGTCGGCAGCGTGACTAAATAATTGCAAAGCTTTTTATGATGACTTTAGACCATGCCAATCGTAAAAGATAAGTTAATTCAATCTAGCATGCCGTACAATTAAAAATTCTTTTTCCCCGTTGAGACGCGAACACCCCGAGACGAGATAACCTCGCCTCGGAATACCCCCATTGCGATGTTACAGGGGAATAGAGAGAAAAACAACCGGATGCGCGCGCCCGCCTTGCCCTATTTCAAGGGACCAATGAACGGGCCCGGAATAGTCATGTGGGGATTTGTAGGTCGAGAGTGAGGGGAAAATGGCCGGTCTCCGTGTGAAGCCGCTTTTGATAGGGGAGTAGTCGTGCATTTATGATTGGGTCTAAACAACTACTTGACACAGAACGTTCAAATTTGAGCACACTATAGAGGATAGATAGATCTATTACCACCTCGGCGCTGAAATTCAAACTCCTTATAGTTTTCGGTGTACACGATACGAAAGTGTTCCCGACACCAAAAATATAGGTTAATTTATGTGTACGAACTTCAATGTCCACATATCATTAGTTTGCCCTATTTTCTGATTGGTTGCCGAGTTTCATTCGGATTGGTTTGGAAATAGAGCAGACCGAGGTTGACAAAGTTAGTCACCTACGCTTCGGTCGGGTCTGCTAAATCGCCCGCAAACGGGGACCAAATTTTCGCCGCGCGGGAAAGCCCGATTGGCATTGCTAGATTGAGCCTACTTTACAGTTTCCCTTGAATTCATTACTGGATCCCTTGTAGTGAAAATCCTGCTATAAGGGACATTTTGCTCCGGTCCCCTCCCTCTCGTTATAACAGGATTCCACTGTAGCTGCCTGGCCTAATAAATCACCATGTGTACCACTTAGCGACTTCTTGTGACAATGAGCAAACTTTTTCCCAGTCACACTAACTTGGAGCGACTCTGTGATATTGGGATTTCAAGTTTAGTACAGGATGACAGCAAGGTCCCCTCATGAATTTCGAGACTCGAGCCTCGAGGGGGATTTTGGGGGAGGGGTGTTGGTTAAAATTTTTGAGACCTGGGAATGTGACAGGAATTTAAAGCTAGGTTGGTCTGAGTTCTGGTTAGTGTAGGGGGCCACATGTTCAAGACTGGTCAGTGAAACTTTGTACACTGTACGTTCGCATCAAATGACATAACCTTGCTGTCGTGTGAGTGTGTTTTTTGGGCACCAGCAATTATCAGAGTCCCCTTCGCACAAGTTCATTCACTCATGACTGCTGATGTTTTCATTCTTTGTATTAAAGTGTCTTTTGACACATCTTATCCATGGTGAAGGGCAAAACTTTGTAGGGGATTTGGGGGAGGCAAGGGGATGAAAAGGTAGTGTCAATTGCCAACGAGTGACGCGGTGGCAATTGACAAAAATTGACAGCAGCGTCAATTGCCACAGAGTAAATTGGAGTTCTTTTGCGTTGGTGAGTAGTTCTAGCCGACTGTTCTCGAGTGCTCGGTGTTGTGCGTTCGCCTCTCTGTCCCTCTGTGTGTGTACATGTGTGTGTGTTTGGGTGTGTCTTTTCCTGACCCCCGTCCCCCGGATTGTTCCGCGATATAAAATGAATTTCTGCTTAAGTTTGTGTGCGTTTGTGACCTTCTACTTCTAGAATTGCCTGTGTTGGTTCTACACCGAAGTGTAGGCTAATTGTAGCATAGACTTAGGCCTACGTCTCATAATTGAAAACACGCCAAGTTGGTACTGTAGCTTTAGACTAGATGCTAGTCCAATGAAATTAGTAGAGAACAAATTGACCCATTAGACACACATTATGAATAGAAAGCTAAAGTGTTTTTTTCAGACTTGACACCGCTTCACTCGGTGGCAATTGACGTTGCTGTCAATTATTCAGTGCTTTCACTGTTCCGTATTTTTACGGAAATCCGTACTTTCTGCTAGTTCCGTACTTGTTCCTCCATCATTATCAAGGTACTCCGTAAAAATCTGCGACAGCGTAGGACTACCGAAATTGCGTAGCAAAAGTTCCGTACTCACCTTCGTATCGTCTTGTATAAAAGTTACAAATATTTACGGTAATTTTCTTGGCAATAGTTAAATGTTATAGAAACCTGCCAGATTGCGCATTTCCTGCCATCGGCCATTATTCTGCTGTGCCCCATGCACTAATTGCGGGTTGGTCGGCAGTAAGTTTTTTACCTGCAGATTTGTCAAAGTCTGGCGAGGTTTTTGTGCCACTTTCCTCCTTTCTATCATTCCTTCATTCCGTTTATCTTCAGACGTGAAAATTGAGGAAAATTCGGGTATATGAGTAACTGTATTTTGAAGGTACATATCTATTCATTATTCCCAGGTTTGCCTTCTATCAATGGTGCGATGACAAACTAATTGAATTATAGTAGCAATGGAAGGGGAACCTGCTTTTAAACATAGCCAGCATTGCAAAGATATGTTGGTGAAGAAATCAAACAAGAAAAAATCTTGCTGAATAAATAGGTAGTATGGGTTGTTGTCAATCTCTTCAAACAGGTTCCCAAATGCCATTTTCAACCCTCTAAAAGCACTAAATTTCAATTTCTTCGGGGGCTTTGCCCCCTGATCCCCCAACGGGATGCTGTCCCTGGACCCTGCTGGGGGCTTCTGCAGCCACCAGACCCCCGGCAAAATTTTCTATACTTTTCAGCTTCAGCTGGTGGAAGCTTTGATTATTGTAAATTGCCACCGCTTCACTCTTGGCAATCGACGCTACTGGATGAAAAATGGTTGATTTCAAGATACACAAATGCTTTGCTTGCATGATACAGGATGATCAGTGTCCTTTGCTGACCAAGCCAATTACAGTAGCATGAGGATGCCATTTTCGCATATCCAATCATGAGTCTCCAGGTCAACATAGATCCTATTGCTCCTCCCCTTAACCTGTCTGGGATTTGTTATTATATTATAGTTTTCCATCCTTGACCAAGTTCCCTGCTCATCTTAACGCACCAATGAACACAATACACCCTGAGTGTCTGAACAGGAAGTCTTTTCCCAAATCCTAAGTAAAGGGAGGTACTCCCGTGAATACAATTATTTTTTTTTTAAATGCTAAGCAAATTCCACAAATTTTGGAAAAATTAAAATTAGAAAGGGAAATGAAAGTGTTTATTTTCATAAATTTAAATTACTTATTAGTGCTCAGGTTCTGGAAATGGTCTAACATCACTTCAGTCGAGATGTCCGACCCGTCGAGATGTCCGACCCGTCACTCTTTCTGTCAGCCTCACTGTCAAGCTCTAGATCTAGATTATATATATATATATATATATATATATATATATATATATATATATATCCCCCCCCCCCCCCCCACCCGCGACTATGTTTTCATCAATATCTGATTCTTTATCATTTGCTCGTTCAAGCTCATATCAATATTAGCTTTCCACTAGCTCAATTGTGTCGCTTTTCAATTAGTTATAAGGCCACCTTTGGAGTGTCAGAAACACATTTGATAGGCTCTAATACTGTACTGGCCCAAAAATGTATTTTCGGTATCAAATAGAAGAAGAAACTTAGATATATATGTTATAATTATAAAACAAAATCTCGGCCTCGGGTCTTGTCAAGGAGACAATTCTGTGAATCAACGGGCAGTGCAGTGATTTAAAACTTTTGCTGCTTGGTTGATCAGATGGGCTCTTTCCTGGTTCCGTAAATTATGATACAGGATTTTAGCCCAAATGTAGTACTTCAGAGGTGACTTTTGTGAATGAAAAATTCTGTTTTCTTAAAATAGTGGGATCTTATGTGAATCCGGATCATATGCTGTGGGATCTTAGGTGAAGACCACTGTAATAGAGTTATAGTAATAATAATGAAATTTGAGAACAGAGCCTATGTATATGGTCAGTTGGAGAGATCTGTTGCTGCAGATCTACTTTTAATAGTTTGAATTAATTGAATGCCGAAACGTGGGTAAAAATACAGTATATATATATGAAGGGCTTAGAGGCAGGCAACTTGACCAATGCCTGACTGTCATCTTGATCCACTGAGTCTGTTTGTCTTTATTTTGGAGAGTTGGCAGCTATGGTTATACCTTGTCTACTTTATAGAATCTGAGAATGTGTAGAACGAGACATGGATTTGTCAGTGATGTTGATGACCTGGCATTTCCACAGATAGGCATAAATTGGTCTTTAAAAAACAATTTTTTAATGTGATGGGGGGAAAAATGCCACACCTTGAGTACAGGTGCTTGGTTCACACCCTCTCACCAAGAGCCACCTTTCTTCATTTAGTCTGAGGGGAAGCCTCTGCCAATGTGTGAAGCATTACCTACCACCAGTGCTCGAACCTTGCTTACATTCTTACTTTCTGAAAGAACATCACCACATCCTGCCAGTCGGACACGTGTGGGTGTGTGCGTGTGTTTGGGAAAAGGAGGGTGGGGGTGTTACGGCAAAATCAACCACACCCCATAACCACCTTTAAGATTCAGTTAACGGCAACGTCTGCCTAACAGCAACCAAGGCCTGCATCCCAAGGAACTTACTATTTTAGCAGACATGTTTGAACATCAGAACTTATGTTTGTTAACCCAAATTGATTCTTAATAGAATTTTTCTGAAAAGTCTATGCAGCACACATTTTGACTCTCAGCAACAGCCATGTCAGTGGCCAAATGTTGTATGGCTGCTCTGGATCTAATTTTTGTTTTTGTCAGACACCTGTAACTGGTGTTGATGTGTCCTTTTGATATTGTCCAGTCTCTAGGATTTCACTACAAGGTTCTTTTCTTTTTTTTTTTTTCAGACTATCAATAGCCGCTTGGAGTCTATAAATGCTCCATTCACTCTAGTGGAAGGCTATGTGGACATCGTCCACCTGATGATACCATGGCAGCAGCTCCCCTCCAAGTCCATCATTGTGGAGATTGATGGCCTAATTCTGACAGTACGACTTACAGAAGAGGAGCAAGGTGAGTTGAAAAACAGCAAAGCCAATTGTAGTTCTTCAAACGTAATTCAAAGAATAAGAAGGATCACATAATTAAAGGGTGTCCCCTTTTGCCCTTCTCTCCATTTTTTCTGTGTATGGTTTTAGTTTTCATATTAACTTTTAGGTACCATCATTTGTTGTACCATTTGATAATCCTCTTTACATTAAAAACATTTCAAGAAGGGTTGTGTCTGTTGTGAATTGAATGTTTACTTGTGGTACTAAATGAAATGTCAACACTTTTCTGTTCCGTCTGGCAAATATCGGCTTATACAAGAAGGCAGTGGGACAATCTGAAAAGGATTAAAATCACTTATTTTATTTTTCTCTTTTCTGTTGAAGATGATGGTATGGATGTAAAGTCAATGCTGGACAGCATGAGTGCCTCAATGGTGGAGGAAATGTTGAAGTCTAAAGAGGCAAATGGCGATATTGAGCAGATTGCTGATGGAGGGAAAGGAGCCACACCTTATGAAACCGTGGAGTTTATGTCTGATTTCATCACATCAAGTAAGTTCTTGCTTTTGGAAATTCGTTTGCAAATATCATATCATTATTGTCGCAAGCAATCCACTTATGTCCAAATTTTGAGAATTTTTGTTGAATTTTTACACACTCTCAAAGCTTTATCAAAGGTGAACCTTTCAACATCATCAAAATGCAGTTTGATGCTTTGGTCAAGGCTTACAATTTTCTTGCTTTTCATGATTCCTGATAGGAAACAACACAACTAAAACTAGTGTTTTGTCTCTCTTGTAAAAAGTACCCAAACAAACTTAAGTGGATGGCATGCAACACTGATGATATCTGGTTACACTTTGGTCTTATAGGACATTGCTTGGATGCAGTTCTTTTTTTATTGAGCAATAGTGTTGAAATCTAGGGAGGGGGGGGGGGGGGGCTCTCTCGTGGTCCAGGGGTACATTGTTCACCTCTCATTCAATATGTGTTGGGTTCAAAGCCTGATGGCCACGAAAAATTTTCTTTTCCCAAAATTTTCTCCTTTCATCTCCTTTCCTGTTTCTTATCATGTTCTGTCATCTGCTTTTATCTCCGCTTTCTGCCCCTTTTCACCCTCCTCTGGGCTCCTGACTCTTTTCACTGCTACTCCTGGCTCCTTGCTACACCCCTAATCTCAGCGTACGTAAGATCGAACACCTAGCCTTCTCGGATAAAAGCAAAGAAATCTTGGAGGTCCCGTGTGCTAGTTGTGCCTGTTAAAGATTCCTTGGTGGTTCTAAAATTGGTAAGAGTAGGCTTTGGTGGCCATATGGGCAAAATTCAAAATTAATTCCTACCAAACTGAAAATCCTCAATGTGTGTTGCACACTCATATGACCTTTTGCAGCTGTGAGCGCCGTAAAACACTTATTGAAAAAAAAAAGGCTGTGGGTGCAAAATGATGTGTGTCTTTCACTTTGTCATTGTTTGGAGTCTATTCTATATAATGGCCTCTTAATCTGATTTTTAGTTTAAGAATGGAATATCTGAACAAAATGAGCAAGATTGCATGACAAAAGTAGATTTTCTTTGCACTCAAAAGACACAGTGAGTGTTGAAGATATGGACTTCTAAGATTGTACCAAGTATAAGCCAGACCTTCCACAGAACATGGGTCAGGATCTATGCTCTACAGCTGTAAGTTTCTTTCTGAATGAAGTTTCACTTTGAATGCTACTACTCTTTTGCAGTCATGACTCGGATACAGGTGAAGCTTGAGAATGTCAACATTATGGTAGAGAAGTCACCTGGGATTCAAGTAGACTTGACCATTGACAGGTAAGTAGAATTTTTCATCATAATTTGTTCTGCTGTGACTCTTTTAACTCTTTTATGTGGGCGGTTGGCGGGTGCTCTGGTGTGGTTTGCTTCTTCTTTCCTATCAAACATCCATCGTCCTTCTCTCCTCTTCTTCTCTTTTATGTTTGTCACTCTTGTAACACCTCTAATTTTCTGGCACTCATATGACCTTGTGCAGTTGCGAGCGCCGTAAAACCTCTACTAAACTAAAAAAAACTAACTCTTTTATGTGATACCTGACTTTTGAATCGCTTGTCTATAACTACAATAGTGTCTGCTTAAACGTACGCTTTTGTCATAAGACGGATTTTTAAATTATATAATTTAGCCATGTCACTTTCTCTAACCACATGCTTCAATCCCTGAAACACGCTGACAGGTAAAGCATGACAAAAGGAAATTTTCACTACAACCTACACTGCTTGCATACATGTCGAGTCTAGACAACCGGATATTTAATGAGACTGCCTCTCATGCAGAACAAAGAGAACCTACCCTACTGTCCACTTACACATAAATAACGCATAAGTCTAGGACTGGATGAGCGATGTTTTGGGGGTGCATCTTTGAGAGGTTTTTCACAGCGTTTGAGTGACTGAAATGTTTATTTGTGCTCATGAATATGATGCGCATCACACATGAATGTTGTAGTAGATAACTATGTAAGACTAAGGGTTACAGATTAGTCAATTGATCAGCTGCACTCGACAAACTTATAACGTTCTTGTTCAATGAATCACTAGAGATATGTTTCTCTGAATGTCTGATGTCATCCATGCATTTAGAGTTGCTAAGAATGATAGGCAGTCGGGAGTGGTTGCTTGGAAAGCCACGTGCCTGAGCGCTCTAGGACTCTCACCAGAAGTTTCCTTTGATCTGTTTATATGACATGTTAGTGTACATTAGTGCGGTGGGTCAGACTTTCTTCTTTTTACCACTACTCGTCCAACACCTTTGTAGTCATAACGGAGATCGGGGGATCCTTTATAAAACAGTCACATTTTATCGCATTATCTGTGAAAGTGATACCCCATCCCCCACCCCCAAGACAGGTCACTAAAATTGGAAATGAGATGGTTGGTTCCCATTACCCCTTTGCACACTCTGTGTAAACACTCGCTTTGGAGTCCTCCTGAGCATCATTCATTTAGGCGTAGACTACTGGGTTTTTTTTTGGGGGGGGGGGGGGGTTGTTTCGGAAAAATTGGCAATAGGGCAAAGTTTAACTTATTAAAAATGCAAACAAATATTGGTATAACTACCCGTTGAAGTTTTCAGGATTTGTGTTTCGTGTTAGAAATAATTAGTGGGTATACTAATTTATAGCTATAACAAAGATTTTTAAAATTATTTTTTTGCTTTCTGTTTACTCCGTGACAATTCTCACACTGTCTGTTTCTGACAAAAGATGACTGTTATGTATGGCTCACATGTTCTGTTGTTTAAAGCATAAATTATTTCCTGTGTTACAGGCTCCATGTTTATGATGAACAGTCGGTCTCTGCCCAGTGGAAGAGAGACAATGGTGTTCCGGAGGCTGAAGGTTTCTCCACAAAGATTGTGGAGGTTTCCAATGTGGCTGTATATGTGGTAGAAATGCCATCCCAAAAGCCAGACCCACCACAGACCATGGACCAGGATCAGTACTCTGCTGCTGTAAGTTCTGATCCTGTTTGGTCGTGTTTATATATATATATATGTATATTGAAAGTCCATTGTATGTGCTGTGGTTAAAGACAAATCGCTACCTCAGAAGTGCAAAGTTCTATCTGCTCAGTACCTTGTTTTGAGAAATTTGACATTAAAAATAACGAGTTTCACCACATATCAAGCTTTTTTAAACACAATTATTTCAACATCTTGATAACGACCCCGAATAATATTATGATTGTGATTGAGTTAAGAGTAGATAGAACGTTTGGTTTCTGACCTCATGGTTTTAGTAACATAAAATAGTCAAAGATGTTAGATAGAACTTTTTATTTCTATGGTAGCGAAATCCTTGTTTGTCCGTCATTATGAATCCATGCACTAAGTGGAAGATGATCCTGGAATCTCGTGGCCTATAGGTAAAGGTGTTCGCCTCATTCAAAGGTTTCGTGGTCAAATCTTGGTAGCGACGGAACATTTTCTTCTCTAAATGGGTCTCCCTTCACCTCTTTTCCTGCTCTCTAGCAATATTCTGTTGTTTGCTTTCGTCTCCATTTCTGCCCCCACCCCATCACCTCCTTTGCCCTCACCTCTGGGCTCCTGACTCTTTCTGAAGCCTTTCTCCTGCTACTCCTTGGCTCCTTCTTACTCCTGTCTTTCAGCCGCACACCTGATAGGAAAGATCTACACTTAACCTTCTCGGACAGGGGTGAAAAATCTCAGAGGTCGCGTGTACACGTTGCGCACGTTAAAGATCTTTTGGTGGTCTAAAATCGATAAGAGTAGGCTACGGCCGCCACCCGGGCAAAGTTCAAAATTTCCTACCAAGTAAAAATGTTTAATGTGTCCATATGACCTTATGCAGTTGTGAGCGCTGTAAAACACTAAATAAAAAATACCTTTCAAAACTGGGAGGGAAAGGAGAACTGTATGGCTTTCAGCAGTGTGCCCATTTTAGCTTTGATTTGATTTTAAAAAATCCTACATGTACAAGTGTAGTTGAAGACCAAGGATTGCAGTGTACATGTTTTTATTGTTAGTTTCTTTTACAAGGTGCACAATTATGACGCTGAAATTTTTTGGAGGAGCTTAACTCATTTGCTACGTATTATTTTCAGCTTGTGGACAAATTTTTTACGGGAGGGCGAAATGAGATGATGACAAGTGCGCAGTTCACATGTCTTTGGGGCCACAAATTCAAATAAATATCAACATATTATATACAAAAATTTTCAGTATGGTTTGTAGAATACATCTGTATTGTTTATTGGTGTATTTTTCAACTTTGGTGCTTATAAGAGGCGATTATGCAACACACTTTGGATTGGATGCAGATAAAATTTGAAAATAAATTAATAATCTCTGGTGAAACTCAAAAAATATGTTTGAACTTAGTCAAATGATACATCAATATAACCGTAAATGTATATAGAACTGGAAAATATTGAAAAAATTGCAGTTATTTACATACATTCCATAATATTTGTACATTTGGATCATAACATTCGATATTGAAAAAAAAAATTTAAAAATTATAATTTGAAAAAAGAAGCACAAACAGAAAAAAAACACTCATATCTTATATGGAATTATTCAGAATTGCATTTGGAATAAACCTATACATGTCTTGAGTGGTACTTTTGTGTAATTTCACCAAAAAGTAGTGATTTTGGGGAGAAAAAAATATTTTGACTATTTAGATCTAGACCTAGATCTGGGGGCTCTCGTGGCCTAGAGGTTAAGGTGTTGGCCTCTCATTCAAAGGTCCCGGGTTCGATTCCGGGTAGCGACCAAAAAATTTTCTTCTCTAAAATTGTCTCCTTTCACATCCTTTCCTGATCTCTAACAATGTTCTGTTGTCTGCTTTCATTTCCACTTTCTGCCCCCACCCCTCACCGCCTTTGCTCCCTCCTCTGGGCTCCTGACTCTTTCTGCAGCCTTTCTACTGCTACTCCTTGGCTCCTCCTAACTGCTGTCTTTCTGCCACACCCCTGATCTTCTGGTAGGAAAGATCTACACCTAGCCTTCTCGGACAAGGGCGAAAAAACTCGGAGGGCCCGTGTGCAAGTTGCGCACGTTAAAGATCCCTTGGTGGTCTAAAATCGATAAGAGTAGGCTTCGGCCGCCACCCGGGCAAAATTCAAAATTTCCTACCAACGAAACAGTATTAGGTGTGTCCCGCGCGCTCATATGACCTTATGCAGTTGCGAGCGCCGTAAAACCCTATACTAAACAAACAAACAGACCTAGATCTAGCACTTAAAAATATTGATTTCTCAATTGCAGTGCATTGGCAATTTGAGTCCAATAGTATCAATATTATAAAGAAAAGTCCATATAATTTGGACTTTGCATAAAACAAAGTCGCATAAACTACGAAATCGCGTTTCAAAAGTGAATCTAAACTTTCGATTTTCGGTGGAAACGTTTGACCCGGAAGTCGATGTTATATTATAACCTTTATTTTAACATGGATACGTGGATTGGAGTAAAATCTAAGCTAGACCTATAGGTCGGTGCTCGAGCCGTCGGGAGCGGCTTGGCGTACGGAAGACACTTTGGCTGTGCCGCTGGCCACGGCTCAGCATAGCGAATGAGTTAATAATAACTTTCTGATTGTGTTTGAATTAATTAATTTCGTTTTTTTTATTAAAAAGGTTTCCTATTTTTTTTCCAAGTATGCATAATGCCAGGACATCATGATGTCTAGAAAAGTACTAACACTGCATGTTGTGTTTGTTGGGTTCTTTAGATCATTGTTTGATTCATAACAAGACGTGAGACGCACATAGGGATAACGGTAAAGAACATTGAGGCAGCCATTTCGGTAACCCAGAATGCAATAGTTTATTTCTTTAGGATTGATTACAACGTCATATCCGGATCGGTATCGATTATTATTATTATCGAATATGACATCCCCTCTTTCTCTTTTCAAAATTTTATATTTTGAACTGTATCAAATTTTCGAATTACAAGCTTGTGTTCTAAGAAAAACACACACAATTTCTTTCTTAAAAAGAAAACAACTAAATGTACAGTGCATATGGTTCAACTCTGAACTGATAACACCAATTGTAATTAGTATTTTGAACAAAAGGAATATCTGCCAATTACAAGTTTTCTTCAAAATGTTTCTTGGTACTGTGAGGTAAAGTTCTTTCAAAGTTCTTGGCTCTCAGCAGATGAGTGTGAAATATTAGTATGTGTTTGCTAACTAATCCTTCAAATACAATCGCTCTATTAGCATTGGTATCTATCAAATGTTTCACTTAGTGTTTATGCATTGTTGTGATCGTACGGGACACACAAATTCATCACATTGTATGCAAAATG